GTCTAGAAGATAGAAGATAAATTAACCTTACCCTATGTTTATAGGTCTCTGTCAAAAAATGAGACCAAATAAAAACAGAAGGCGCTAGTACATTATGTTTTTTTTTAATTGCATCAATATATTTTGACAATTTGTCTCTTAGAAGAGAAAAAAAAAAGAACTTTCCTAATTGTCATATTTCTGTAGTACTCATCAAAGAGAAAAGAACGACATGGTTATTTTATTTTTTATGTACTCAATAGGAACTTCCATGCTTTTCTGTTGTTTTTGCTGTTGTCTATCTACATAACTATATTCCGCTCTTCGCTCTCTCTCTCTTCGTCATGTTGCTATTCATCTCAAAGAATGAGGGTAAGATGCCACATCACCCATTAATATATTATCTGCAATCTAGTAATAATCTGCTTCGGCGTTAGCAAGGTCTCACTATTCTCTTCTTTTCTATATTCCTGCTATTTGATCGATTACACATTTTGCTGCCGTCGTACTACCCATGCACTAGTCATGTTTGTGCATGAACACACGAACAAATAATAGATCTACATTTAATCTCATTCTATTTCGATTCGTTTTATATGCTGTTGAGCTCGTCAGATATTGAATAAATGGAACAGCAATTTTCGAATAAATTATAAATGAAACCAAAAGAGAAAGAGAGAAAAACGAGAGAGAGAAATAGAGAAAAAAACCGAACAGTCACTGTTCCGGTAGAAAAGCGTGGTAAAAAATTGCACGAAACTAACGTACATATAAGATGATGTACATGTTTTTTTCTTAATGATAATCGACAGACAACAATAAAACAACTATCGAGACTATAAATAGTATCGTATTTTAACAATCTGCCACTAGAGAGAGAGAAAGAAAAATGAATAAACAAAGTGTCACATACTTCAAGAAATTGAACACGTTTGTGTTCTTGACAGTATAAGTCTGTAACACAAAAAAAATATTGTTGTTCTGCGTCCTGCTCGCTCTTATTTTTTTCAAAAAAAAAACGCAGTCGCAGTAGATTTTCTCTTTTCTTCTTCATCTTCCCACGACTTCTTTTGTATTCTGATGGCAAATGGTGAGCTTTCTCCTGTTTTCTTTCTCTCCCTCTTTTCCCTCTTCTGACTTTCTCTTTCTATCAAATACTTTTTTGCTCTGTGTGCGTGTTCTATGTTGGTATGTTACTACAAGACAATTCGTTGTGATTAACTGTAACACAAATAAACAGTCCTCTCTTTTGTTAAACTGCTATTGTTGCTATTGACGAATTTCTCGTTGTCTACAGATGATGACCTAATTGCAATGTATTCTATGAGATTGTTCTTATACATCGACAAATTGAAAAGTGGACTTAAGATTAATCATACCATGTGCAATCAACAGAAAGAATAAAAGTACAAAATACAATACTTATGTAAACAAAGCTTTCATAGGCATATAAAAATAAGTTTTTTGATCTTATACATATGAATGATGGAAGCCGCAGAGCAACAAATGTATAAACATGTATCTCGTATCGATATTGATTAGTAGTAAGGGAAAAGTCTACCAATTGACTGGATATATTTATATGCATATGACCTCGTTTTTCCACATACCTGGTTGGAAACGATTAGATCCATTTTCTTGATAATAGACAGTAGTGACACAGAAAAACAAGTCGAGCTCACTTAACAAGAAGACAATCTAAAACGTGCATGCTTATTGAGATGTATACTGAAAATTTTTATGAAGCCTAAAAGACTAGCATAATTAATCTATTAGGAGTCTTAGTCATATGTCTGTTTATATGACCTAGATTTATTGTTTATATTGATTCGATATACTATTAAATACAAACGATGCTTAAAAATTAAAAAGCTGCCTATCCTAAAATGTCAACTATGTCTTTATTTAGCACAAATAATCGACGTATCACATTTTCATGACTTCCTACCTGTCTTTTCTCTATTCACTAAAAAGAATAAAACATAGTCTCCCAGGTATAGCAGTTGATGCATGATACTAAAAAAACAGAAGAAAGAGAAAAACTTTATTGTTTGCCTTTATCCATCGTTTTCATGGTTGTTGTTGTTATTTATATAATTGCGTTTTGCACTGATCACTCTGTCGTTTTTTTTTCTGTTTTTATTATAAAATATATATTTAGCAATATATATTCATAAAACAAAGGTTTAACACATTCAATATTTAATTATAAATAGTATATAATTAACCTTGGATGATAAGACAAATGGAATTCGATTAGGAGTTTTTCTATTATTAGAAAAAGAGTAGCATACTTTTTTTTTCTCAATGAATACAAAATCATGAATATATAAATAAAAAAAAAGAACTAAATCTCTATTTTAATATAAAAAAAAGTGCCGTCACCCATGTAAATGCCATCAAGAAATTTCTTTGACCTTATAATGTTTACTGATTTTAATTTAATTTGAATATTCTTGATTAGTTTTTTTTTGTATTGAGATTTGATTCATGTCAATATGACAAGAACAGAAAACGAAAGAATAATACAAATTCTTATATGCCAGTTAAGAATTAATAAAAAAAAAAAAAGCTTTTCTTTTTTTAAATTTTTTTAAAAAAAAAAAAAAAAAAAAAAATAATAATATTTTGTCGACAAGTTTTTTTTTTTTGCTTACAATGAATGACGTCTAAAATAAGAAAAAAGAGGAAAAGAAAAATGAGTTTATTGACAATAGAAAAAAAAACATAATTGAAACTATTAGAATGATAATAATCAATGAATTTTTTGGTTGAATCGTTTTTTGTACTATCTGAAATTAACAAATATTTCATAAAAAAGTTATGTGATTTATTGCTCTTTTTTTTCTTCTCACACAGCTGTCAACGTCGTGATTATCAAGTTATAATTGATATTAAATATTTACATTTTTGAACGTGTTCTACTTAATGAAAAAAAAAATGATGTAAAAATATAACTGCGGTAAAAAAGCATGTGTTTACGTAAACTAATCTACTGCCGTTTTTTTCCTTGATTTAATAATAGATTTTAAAATCTTCGGACTAATGCTATATGCAATTGTTGAATAAAATAAATTTCAAGGGTCATTTAAATTGAAATCGAGTGAACTTAAATATGTATAATAGAAAAAGGAAAACATTAGTTAAATGGTTCATTATTGATGCTTTTTCTACGTGTATTGTCATGCATTAGAACTAATAGTTCTTTTCATCTTGCAACATATATCTCATAAACATTAAGTGATGTTTCGGAAACCCTTTTGTTCACAACAAAAAAAAAGAAAATAATTATATCGTGTTGTACCTTTGTATTCTATAGGGATTCTATGAAAATATTTTCATTATGTCTAACTATTAACTTATAGCTATTCACGAAATAACTATTCAAAGAGTTTTATGAGATTGCTCGCATTGCAATTACCTATCATGTATAACTCTTATCCATTTGATGCGAAAGAAAAAATGACAAAGAATTCATCTTATGAATAATTTAATAAAACATCCGAAATTAGATTTCACAAGTGAATATACTTGAAGAAAATTTTATTATCCAAATCTTTTTAAAAACAAGCTAATATTTCTCACAATACTTGTTATAATAAAATAAATTACATCAACTTTAATATGTCATATTAAAAATTACTCACTACTACTATTACATACATCCATTGTATAGAAATAATTTTGAACTAAAATTCTCATATATTTCTTTGTCTATAGAATTCTTATCATACTTACATATTGTCTTTCAATATTAATATTTATTCCATTGACAAGATCAATTAATTAATAAAGTGATGTATCTACTATTCTATAAACATTTCCTAAAATGTTCATTCATCAAAACAATTTCCATTGAAAAATATTATATTAGTATATAAATTCATAAATACTTGATTAATACACAATGATTTTAATAAATTTTTAATAACAAAATTCAGCTCAGTAATTCATAAAAAATTTACTAAAGATAAATTCAGACATTTAATCATATAGATTTTAATCAACATAGAAAATAACATGAATTAACACAAAAATGAAAACTAGAAAGGTAGATTTTATTTAAGAATTCATTTTAAGCCGTATTGTTTTGCTTCTGAAACACTAGTCTAGAATTCTGCTTTTTATAAAAATGATTTTAAATGTTTCTTTTTGTATTGTATTACATAATTCTATTAGTAAAATTCAAGCATTATCAATTCTTTTTTTCTTTTTGTATGAAAGAGATAAATTATATCTTGATCGTATTACATTATAACATGTCCGACGAATTAAATCTACTACTTGATTGCTACATCATAGGTTAGGTTGTGACAAAACCTATTTGAAGTCATTAATAACTTAAATGATGTAATTCTTTGTTGAATGTTACTCATGATTTCTATTATATAATATTCATATGTGTGACCAACTAACATGAATTCATATACTCAAAAATAATAAAGAAAGACAGATCAATCAAGCATGACCTGTAATGCGTTCTCATCAATTTCAAACTAAAAGAAAAGAAAAGAAAAGACAAATTGTTATCGAATTGGGACATACAGATGTGCTGATTTATGATGTACTATTGTATATGTTCTTTCTTGTAATAAGGTCATCTAAAGATGACCAAAGGCTATCTTCACGTAAGAATAACAATCAAGGCAATAGAACGAGGACAAATCAATTCATTTTATGTTACAAGGTGAACAATTCATTATCGTAGTTCATCAAGGATCGAAGGTATATTAATTGTAGGAAATTCTGATGTAATCAGTTTCTTTAATATATCATTTAAATATCAATCAAATTGCATAACAATATTGAACATTCTGAATATCTTTTCTAACTATCATCTATCTTGGTCTTAAATCAACAATATCATATTTTATCTATTATTTATTTCTATAATACAGTTCTAAACATAAGAAGTAATAACAAAGAACACTTTCACCGGCTATATAAAAAATTGTACAAAAGACGAAAAGAAACAAAAAAAACTGCATTTCTACTGTATATATATAAATATATAATAAAGTCTAATAGTGTCTTGGTAATGTTTGTGATAAACCAATTTTATCAAAAATTTTTTCTAATGTTTTCGATTGTGTTGTTTTAATTAAACATAAACGATGTTTTCGATAACGTTTTAATTGTTCATTTTTAATTAATGTATAAGCTAATGCCCAACGAAAACGTCTTATTTGTGATAATTTATTTTGTTCATATGTATGATGAATTTTTCCAATTGATAATTTATATTTTAATTTTCTTATATCAATAAGACGTTCTCGAATAATATCAATAAATACATTTAAAACAGGATGTCGTTGATTTTTTTCTATATGAAAAAAACTTACATATGATGCATAAGATGAATCATACATTTCTAAACCACGACCATATGGTGAATAATCCAAACGTGCAAAAAATATAATTGAACATATAAATGCTTTTACTATACGTGTTAAACACATTATAAAACCCAAAAAACAATCGAAAAAAAAACAAAAATATGAAAATGTATAATAAAGACGTAGATTACGTAATGTAAGTAAATGAGATTTTTCTACAAATAATAATTTACATAAAAGACGTACAAATAATAATTGAAATAATAAAAATATTATCATTGGTAAGAATAATTTAGCTACATATTCAATAACAATTATTGAATAAAGAATATACCGAGATAATATATAAAATATTGAAACAAATAAAAATAAAAAACCATAACTATAAACTAATGAACCTATGAAATACAACAAAAAAAAAACAAATAATATTCAATTAAAATGAGCTAATTTCACTGATGGATGAACAAGTTTTTTTATTTTTTCCTCGGAAAAGATTAAAATCTCTTTTCGAAAAACGCGATACCTTCCGAATACTAACTGCTTTGTATAATAAGAGTTTCTCAATAAAGAGACAACAGCCATTGCGATTGTTCATGAAGTTTTGAAATCTATTGTTTGAGAAATCAAATATAACAGGATCAAGGAAAAGATTCATAGATATTCTGCTATGTTTCCGTTACGAGAGAACACACACAAGTGATTAATCGCTTTTTTTTTTTAGTCGAGATTATGTGTATCGTGTAGACTCAAGCGAATGTTGAATATCCTGAAAAGATTTCGAACTCTTAGGTTATTGCTGCCGAGATACTGTACTTTTATGGTAGTTTTTAAAACAAATGCCTTGGTTCAGGAAAAGTAGTTTTCGAATTTTGACGGAAAATTTCTCATCGAGACAGATCTGAAAGAGAATAGTTTATCGTGAAAGTTTTAAGTCTTTTGATTGGCTTCTATTCTAAAATAAGAATATTGAATCTAACGTTATACATCGAAAACTATTCTATTTAAGGATTATCTCTATGAAAAGCTTCACGTTCTGAAAAGAATACTACGGAATATATATTTAAAAAACTACCATAAAAATATAATACCTTGGCAGTAATCAGCTTAAGAGTCTGAACTGTTGTCTGAATATTCATAGCTCTTTCAGTTCTACATAAGGCACGTAGTCTCAGTACAAAAACGATTTATCATTCAGAAGACTTTTCTTGTTAGATTTATATCCGTATGTAGAACTGAATGAATACTCCATTGTGTCTATTCCATAAGGAATTAAAGTTGACTATACGTTTCGAACATCCATTAGAGATGTACAGAGTTACCCTACCTTTCAGGATAAGATGAAAGTCAACGTTTGGATCGATTCTGTTTTAAACTAGACCGATTCCGTCTCTGATCGCCATTAGAAAACATTTTTCAATCATGATGTGAAAAAAAAAAATCTTATCCTGCACATCTCTCATTATACTTAAATATTTTAATATTCAATAATGTTGTATCTAATAATTTAATTATAAACATACCCATAAAACGACCTGGATAATGTATTGATTTACTAATAATAGTAATTGATGAAATTTGTTTTGTTGTTGGAATATCATTAAATATTCCACGATAAGCATTACACATTTGTTTTTGATAATGTTTTAAACCAAAAAATAATTGTAAACATGTTATAAATGCTGTTAATAAACAAATATATTTAATATCACGATGAATATGATCAAGATTTAAATTATAACATAAATCTTTTGATAAATCAGCTAAAGCGCATAAAATTAAATTAAGAAATAATAATAATTTTTTTGTTAATATATATGTATGATCTTGTATCCAAAATGTAAAATAATAAATAAGTGTAAATGCACTTGTATATATACAAATAATTAATTTTGAATAACGAAAATAAGGACGTATTGTATAAATATGTTGTTTAAATATAAATATTAAATAATTTAAAAAACGAAATAAACGTGAATATTCATGTTGATTATTATTATTATTATGAATATGATTATATGATTTTAATAGATTATATTTAACATATTTCCAACGTGGAGAATTTTTTATTGTAAATGAATTTTTATTTATTGTTTTTCGAAATGTATTTAAAAACATAAATGTTAAACGAACAGCCAAAAAAACCATAAAATAATAATATGGTGCATATCTTAATGTATTATAAAAAATACTTTGTTTATTTAATTCTAATGAATAATTTAAACGTGATAAATCATTTTCAATATCACTTCTATCATCATATGTAGAATTAATTATTTGATTTTTTATTTGTTCATTAAACCATAATTGTGTATTTTGATAAGTTTCATTTAATTGATTTGTTCGATTAGCACCTTAACAATAAATTTATAAGATGTACAATGAATATAATTATTATAAACTGACTAATGAACTATTTAGAACGAGTTAATATTATATTTCTAGTCTTTGCATAATGTAATATACGATCATTGATACAGATTCTATTCCTAATTTCGATTATTTTATCGAAATATTTTATTAAATAATATTAATGATTGTAGTTTTTAATTAATAAAACATTCATCTTCTTTTGTAATATGTCAACTAATTTCTTTTGCTAGGATTCGAAAGATTGTACATGAGGATATTCTTATCGTAGGGGCGGGATGGTTCTCAAATTTTTGAGAAATACAAAACAATACGAACATACGATATAGTTGTTCTGCAAGATTACATAAAAAAAAATTATTTCGTAAAAGACTAGTCTTTTCCTTTAGTAGTTGACTGTCCGATATATTGTTTATGACATATGAACGAAGCGCGTGAATAAGTCTTTTCTTTATTAATATCTAGTCTCAAATTGTGCATGAGAAAATCAATTAATCAATTCAAGCGATAATCAAATGATTGAATTTATTGTTGCGTGCATTCATTCGTTAAAAATTTAAGATAGAATCTGTTCGAGAACTATTTGTCCTAAAGCCATTTAATTCATTATTTTGATCAGATTAAGATATCATACAATAAATTTCACAATTAAAAAAAAAACAAAAAACAAACTAGACTATTCGATATCAAATGTTAATAATTTATGTATTTTAAAAAAAAGAAACTTAATTTTTCAGAATATAATTTTAAAACTTACCTAATTGTATCATTAAATATTGTTTAATATTAATACCCATATGATTAAATTTACTAAATATTTCTTTAATCATTGATAATTTATTTTGATTAATCATACAATTAATATCTGATTGTAATTTAAATATTATTTCACAATATAAATAAATAGTTGCTAATGCATAAGAAATAATATTAGCTAAACGATTTTCATAATTATTTTCTTGTTCAAATATAGATAATATTGGAAAATATCTTAAACCTAACATAAGACCAATACCAAATTGTAATATTAAATCAATTAATGGTCCTCGATAAAAATGTTTTGTACCATTTATAATAAATTCATCAAATATATGTAAAATTTCTAATGATATTATACCAAAAACAGCTGCTGATTCAAAACGATATATATGTGAATGAGAATTAAATATCATTGGTATTGTTAAATGATAATAAAATGATTTAAATTTTTTTTTAGTTTTTGATATATTTTCAAATATTATTAATATTAATATTAATATTAATAAAATAATTAATGATATATAATTAACAGGAATTTCATAATATAAATTTAATTTTGATTGAAATAATTTACATATATATGATGGTGATGATGATGATGATGATGATGAGGAAAAGGTAGAAACTTTATTATTTGTTATATTTATTGATTTTAAATTTTCAATTTTAAATTCATATATTGTATAACAACAAAATGTTGCAAATAAAATTGTTAATAAACAAATAAATAAACGATAAATATAATAGAAATAATTATGACGAAAAAAAATTATTGATGATTTTGATGAATTAATTGATAAACGACGAATATCAACAATAATATGTCGTGTTGATATTGTTAAATCATCTTGTTTAAGTAATTCATTAGAAGATAAATTTGGTATCGAATAAAAATTTTCTCGTGAATAATCTTTTGTCTGCATTGAACTTCTATAAAACAAAACCAAAAAAAAAAAAAAGAAATAGGAAATGAATTATGTCGATGTTCACGCTTGATATTGTATTCTTCTTGTCAATTTAAACGTTGTCTTTCTTTTTCTTTCTTCTTTCGAAAGCAAAAAAAAAAAAAAAAAGAAAAAATAAGAAGAACGAAAAACGAATAGATCAACAGTTACATAAGATTTTTGAAAATTTCTTTTTCAACAGATACTCATGAAAGATACGAATATGTATATGGACATTTTGTTCGCTCATCTATTTGTGTGATCGCATTTATCATCGTCGAGTTTGCATATCTATTCGAATGAAATAGTTGTATAATAAACCTATACATACATCTCATCGAATCTTGATGAACAGATAGTCGATGAAAATGATGCAAACAATTTCTGTTTTATGACAGTCTGTCATTGTCTTGTATATGTATATACTCAATAGGGTGTTGTAAATTCGAAAATAATGATATCATATCTACCTTCAATGTGTCTCGACGCCCTATTTTAATTGAAGATACTATAATGTAATCTATCAACATTGAATATACCAAGGATGGGAGTGTCCTATCTTTAGATTTATTTTTTATATAATCAACCATGCTACTATTACTACAATTTCATACGAAAGTAGGATTTAATTTGACAAGATATATATATATATATATATATTCTTATCATCAAAGAAAGAAATATGCATTAAATTGCTGTTTACATATGGATAAAAGAAGACAATTGCGGATACAACAAAGAAAATAATGAAGATCGTTTAAATGAATATGTTACTCTATCGTATCTTTTTTTTTTGTATTTTCGATATTTTAAAAATGAAATTTTTCATTCAACTTACTTTCTTTTATCTTTTAATTGATACAATACATGAAATTTTGGAAGAAATATAAGTATAAAACTTGCCAAACAAATAAAAATAATACCAATAATCGATTGTATACCACGATTACTCACTAGAAAAATTAAATAAATATATAATATTAGAAACTATTGAAAAAAAAAAACAGAACAAAACATCGAGTCATCTTTTTTCAATTAGTCAAACTCCAAAAGATAAATATTAATAATGATACTCAACATATACAACAACACGAAACAGACAATCCATTATTATCTTTTTTATTTTTGTGAATAATGAATGACACTATTCTTCGTCATATTCTTAAACCACACCCTCTCATTTAGTATGTTTAAAAAAAAAAGAAAAGAAAAGAAAAAGCTTCTTATATTTTATCTATGGTAAACATCTATCAATGCTTTATATTAATTCATTTCTCTCAATTGAACAGATGACTTCTTCCTTGTTTTTCAATCATGATCAATATTCATTGATTGACTATACTTGTATATGCATCAGTTACCGATTGAAGCGATAAAATAGAACAGATGCTTTTTGTTTTTTTGTGTATAAAACATTATTTATGACACATTGGTCGGTTTCAAACAAATGCATATGGACACATCAAAGTGTTCATTGTTTAATGATTTCATTTTAAATATTAAGAAAATAAGAATTGAAAAAGACTTTTTAAAACGAGTGTTGAAGTATATAGAGTAGAAATTTATACTTCTCCTCTCCAACTTGCATGTGTCACAGAACTGATGTCAATAACGCCTTGTTATAATATACATGGGCTAATTTCTCATTACATTTCTAGAGCATTAAGTAAAAAGGTAGTGACGAAATATGTCCTACAATTGCTTGAATAAGATAAGTTTCCTATGATTAGCATTCTCGGTTACATTGCGTTTCATATTTGAATGTCGCAGAAATTGCACTAAACGTATTTTTTTTTGTATAAGAATAAATTAAAGTCAAGAAAGTCATTAATATTGATTATAGCAATTGCTTATATTTGTCAATGAAACGATTTTCTTGAAATTTTAATTGTAGAAAAGAAAATGAACTATTTGTTTTTATTGATTCTAACTTTTGTATAACAAAAAAAAGAAAAACAGATAATTAGTTTACAAATAGGTTATATGATTTCATCTCGTTTTTATCTATTGTGAACATATCGATGCATCTTAATGATGTCTTTCTAATGTTATTAATTACTGCAATTAAAATTATGTTTATAATTCAATGGTATTTTTCTTCTCGGTTATGTATATTTCTCATAAAATAATTTTAATCAAGTCAGATCATGCAATTTTGAATCTTAAAAAAGCAACACAATTATTTTCTGAAAATGCAAGAAAATGAATCAATCTTTTCATATGCACTTTTCTCTATTCATGTACTGAACCCAAACTCTTGTTCGTTATTCGGATTGACAAACTATCCGATCGGTTCAAACAGTGTCGAATATTTCCTAGAGCGTTTCCTTAGATACGGCTAAGATCGGATTCGAATATTTCAGAACATTGTTAACTGTTTAGAAAAACATTGAAAGAATAAAGAGATGTGCGTGTAGTTTGGAGCTTCTCTATATCTATAGTCACACTCTTCTGGATCATTGAATTCAGAGCAGATTTTAAACGGCGATTTGAAACATTAACTATTAGGTTTTAAAATGGTAGAATTCGAAACAGTTGCTGGCTGGATTAATCTTGTTAATCAGAGGACGGCAAAAAAAAAAGATGAACATCTTTTCGTAATTTTAATAGTACACCTATTTTTGAATATAATGTCTTTTATGATTTCAAAATAAAAAAATTCTTCATATTATCAAAATTATCTCAGTTTTAACGATTAATCGCGATTGATCAGTAATTTTTCGAATAATTCGATAAATTGCACTTAATCGATAATTATTTAAATAATTGCGATTTTATTGGAGATTTTGTAACAAACTTTAACAGTCAATATAAATGTATAAAAATCAATTTTTTTTTTAATCAATGCTTAAATCAAGCTCGACAGTAAAATGATATATAAGTATTATTTTACATAAACAATTTTGCAATACTTATGGAAGACTTTCCTCAGATGAAATAAACTTACAAAAATCTTACTGTTAGATTTAATATTTATCTAACTATAGAATGCTACTGTGAGTTTTATATGATTCTTACTCTCAGATTCTTGCAAAGTCTGAGTATCGGGATTTTGTGAGATCATATATATAATCATAATTTTAGATCTCATTAATAAAATTAGTTTTGTGCATTGAAAATGCATCTATGAAGTGGTGCACGGTCTACTAAAATATCACTGCAAAAATAATTTAATTAATTAGATTAAATAGAAGTATATTGTCTTTTGTTTAAAATGTTTAGTTTTTTTTTATTAATTAGATAGAGGACTTTGTTAAGAAAACGAGATGATAGAAGACAATCAAGTATACAGTGTTGTGGAAAACGCTGGAAAAATTATACACGAACTTTATGAGATCTAACATAAATACCATAAGAGAATCGTACAAGATCATATAATAGGATTGCTTGACCTGAATTGTTTGGATACGTTGAGACATAGTCATAATCTAGATTCAAGTAGTACGAATAGGTTCGATCATTGTAAGAATCGCTTGAATAATCACGACTCTATGTGGAAATCGAAGAAAACCTCTATTTTAAGTGATTTAATGGCAATATACCCTAACAATTAATTGCTCTAATAAAATCAGCGATTTTCATAACATAGGTCATTTTTATATTTATTTCTCTTCTGTTTTCTCTATTCGATGTTATTCTGCAAACCGTTCCTTTTTCGATTCTTTATTCAACTGTGTTTAGATCTATGATAATAATGCCTGAAATCGTTTCTTTTGGTTTATTTCTGCTTCTTTCTATTCATTAATTAAAAATGACCACATTCAAGTCTAAATCTCGAATGTCTACTTCTCTCACCAAACTTTTTTATTATTTTCAATTATTTAAGTATGTTTTATAAAAAACCAAATCATGACATTCAATCTTTCAATTCAATATTGAAGTATATAATCATGCACAAAAATTATATAAGACTTCCATTTACTTACATGTTTCACAATGATCACCAGTATACATAAAATTACAAATACATATATATTTCGATACTAAATTTTTACATTTTCCATGTTGACCACAACGTGTATTATTATAACAACTATTAATTTCTAGAATGATATTTTCATTCAAAAATAATTTTTCTTTTTATAAGTAATTAATAACTTACTTATTTTACATATATAATGATCACTTCGTCTTTCTAAACGAAATTTTTCTTCTAATGATACACGTCTTGTTGCTTTACTTATATCAATAATTAAACAAGTATTTCTTGCTGGTAAATCTATTAATGGTTTATATATTAATGAATATTCATTTATATTATTAATAAATAAATATTGTTGTTCATAAATTTTTTTTCGTAAATTTAATACTAAGAAAAATAAGAAAATATTTTCTTTTTAAAATAATTTATAAAATTTACAACGTCTGCCTTGAGTAAAATTAATAGCAATACGAGGACTATCATATGATTGTGTTTCAGTGTATATTCGATTGAGAACAAAAGCAAATTCATCAATACTTTCCATATCCCATAATTTAGCATGTAATTGACGACAACGAAGAGCGGCTAAAAATATTATTGTTTAATATTTAAATCTATTTTATAATTAAATCTTCAGATTTGTAAAAATTTTTCATTAATTTATCAATTACATTTTTCTAGATCTTGAAAAACAAAGCTGTTAGGATAATCCCTGGGAGATTAAAATAAGAAATACGATGTCGCTGTTGTTGTTGTCAATCACGAAGAGATTGTTTGATTCTATCTATTTTGGGGCACATTGCTTTACCATTCTTTTTATTTAACGACCCAGAAATGCAATAACGAAGTAACTGTGATATTATTGATATACGATCTGTAGCGAGGGTGAGGGAATGTTATTAGAGTGTCTGTCACAATCTGTGGAAGACGGCAAGAATCCAAATATCTACCTCTTTATTTCAATACTCATTTTAGGTCGTATTTCAGAAAATTCAGAACAATCGGAAGACATTTAGCAAAATCAAATTGAATATATCTATATTTGATTAATAAATGCTTGTAGCTTACACTCATTCGAAAAGCATCCACAATAAAAATATCAAAGTCTTTCTATTAATTTCAATACACAAATATTGTATCGTTCACGAGCTTCAAATATTAACATATGATTAATATTACTTTTTTTTTTTCTTTAAGATGAAGAAATATTAGATACTTCAGAATTAGCTTTTGTTAACTTTTTCAAACAATCTTTTATTAAAGTCTGTATGAAAAAGGTCTATTATCATCCATAAAAAATAGATAGATTTGACGATGAAGATTCTATTCGTATCGACTAAACATTTTATCATATAAGAATGCAAATAGTAAAATTTAGCCTTTCAAATTAATAATACCTAACGCATCTTACTCGTTAAACAATGTTCTGATAGTAATGTCGACTTAGCATTAATATTGCTTTAAATTAAAATTAATTGTAATATTTTCGCAATAAGATTTTTATACGAAAGTATTCATATTAGTCACAGATATCGTCCTTGTTTTAGAATTTCATTATATTAATAATAACTAAAATAGTTTCTTATGTGAATTCTAATATTAAAGTATTACAGTTAGTATTAATTTAATAAAATTCTAATCCTAAGTTGACACTCCCAGGTTTATTAATTAAGATAGCTTATCTGAAGAATATACAGTTTGACGTATAGTGCTATGAAAACATGAACTGCATGATTATTTGTTAATAACATACAGTTAACGTGAAATTCAAGATAGTGGAGTAAAAAAGTTCGAAAGATATACAGAACTATACAAATCGCATAGAAAGATAAACATAGTTCATTGAATAAAATTTTTTCATGAAAAAATACAAAAATACCCCCGTTTCTTCAGCCTAGTACATCTAATCAAGCTGAAACTTTTTCCATATAGATTATCATACTGTTTGAAATCGTTAGAGTTTTTTTAAATAATGTTCTGCTAGTTTTTAGCAACTCTTATAATACAACAAAATACTCAAAACAATTTCTAGTGCCTGCAAAAAAATTTTCAACTCAAACAAATATAGCATCGCGAAGCAATGAAACGCCATTGTAATCCTAGTATCTCATAGAAGACAACATTCAAGAACTTTGAATCTATGACAATTTTTGCTTTACTGATTAAGATTTATCTACTTTGACAATTTCAAATTTTTCTGAGGAATCCTTCTCTAGAAAGGGTAACCCTTGATGTTAATAATAAAATTAATATTGCTTGTTTTTTGGTCCGCACTTACCTTCATCAATAGATACATCATTAAATCGAATTCCTTTCGTATTGTCTATCTGTTTCGGTGGTAAATAAAAGTAACAAGAACCATTATAAAAAAAGCTTTTCAGTGGGCACACTACAAAACAAAAAAATAAATAAATCATCATTTCATATAAATACAAATAAATTTATACTAGTAGCGGCATTATCAATTTTTTTAATAGCATCTTTAATTGCTTGTTTAAATCCTTAAAAAATAAAATATCAATAAATAATTATCTTTGATAATATTTATATATATACAAGAAAGACATACTTATTCCTAAGTCTCTTGTATCTTCTTCATCAGATACCATATTGAATGCAACAGTATGATGATGAAATAAGCAAAGAATAATCAAAACACTTGCCAACATACTTAATCTATATAAAAAAAAATAAAGCAACAATAATTATCTATACAACAAAGTTCAAAAAAAAAAGGAATACATTTTTCTTAAAATAACGAAAGGCATTGTCAATTCATTGGCTTCATCATTACTCAACAGACAGACAATGTAATGTCTATCTCATTCATTCGACATTATCAGTCTTCTTCTTCTTCTTCTTCTTTCAAAAAAAGAAAACGAAAGATAATAAATCCTAGTGATGTATCGATTGTTTATATTATCAGACAAAATTTAACTCTATCATATATTGACTGATGAATATTTAAAAAAAAAATAAAATCTACTCATTTCATTTACTTTCAATATGTTTATCATATGAGAACATACCTACTAAGCATATCCTATTTACATAAAATTTTTTATTCAAGGTACCAATATGATAATCATTATGATGCAAACCATACAACTTATATCATTGTATTTTTGTTGTCATTACTAATTTTGAAACGAATCACAATATAACTATTCTTCATTATCATATAGAAGTGTCTCTCAAACTATTTGTTTGCCTCTTGCGATATGTCATAAATTAATATAGAAACAACAATGAAGGTGCAGTGATCATTAAAAACAATGCAACATTTAACATACAACTCATCTATTATCCTACTGTCGAAATTAATTAACTTACATAAAAACAAATGCACATAGACGACAGTTCAATCGGATAATAACTAGTTTTGATCGACAAATGAAATTTTTACTACTTGAAACGCTTGTGTAATAAAAAGCGAAAGAGAGTTAAAACGACATACATAAATATGAAAATTAATCTTTATAACAAGGTAACTCTATTGAACATAGAATTTTTATTTTCTTTTGTTCAATTTGATTCCGTTGTCCAGTATAAGATCAAATTTGTAATAGAAAAGAAAAAAAGTCTCTTTCCTACGCGTGCATATAAAATCAATAAAAACAAAAAAAGATGACTGGAGATGCCGGGCATCGATCCCGGTGCCTCTCGCATGCAAAGCGAGCGCTCTACCGAGTGAGCTACATCCCCGTGCTTCTTAATCATAGAATTTGTCTATACTTGATAAATATGCAAAATATAATAATAATAATTAATGAAAAAAAATATATTGTATAAACAATATTGAACACAGCAGGAGTCATAATCTTTCGGTCAACAGATACACATATGGTTAAGATTGACAATATATAATTGATTAAAAATCAAATTTTGTCTACAGGGCAAATTATTTCTTTTCTTTGATGTATACTAAGTGTCTCGTTTTTTTTCTTGTTAACTTACTTTTTCATATGTTATCAATGTCTGATAATATTATCGACAATAATTTTTTCTTTAAAAAAAAAAAAGTAATACAAGATATCAGACAATCAATGAGTAAAGTACCACATGCCAAAACATACATATATGATGTTTCTCTATTCTTCTTTCTTTTTGTTTTTTGCTCTTGTCCATTCTCTCTTTCTCCTTTTCTTTCTCTTTCTCCTTTTCTTTCTCTTTCTCATTCTTGTCCATCCAATGATTCCATTTCATATGATAACAAGATAGGCAAGTTATGCCGATTATAATTGAAATGACAAATATACTTAGTTTCTATGAACTTATCGGAAATTAAAAAAACAAAAACAAATTCTATTCAACATCTGTGCTTGAACATATTGGTCATTTCATGTAGACCTTGTCGCTGACACCTATTTAGCAAATATTATATTCGATGTGATTTATATCTTGAATGGTTTCATTTCACACATCTTCTCTCACGATGATTGATTGTCATCTTAGTTGTTGCTGTCTGGACAACTTTTTTTTTTTACTTATATCTAGCATCACTGCAAGTGCTTTGATTTATATGAAATTTAATTCTTAATTGAATTGATGTCTGATCATTTCTTTTATTGAATTTATGATAAAAGTTATGCAGAATTCTTACATAAAAGTAAATGATCTGTTCAATAGCTAAAACAATTTTGTTCTATATACATGTACATGTCGTACTGCAGTTATTGCATATTGAATAAACAGCGAATAATAATCAATTGATTGATGACGTTATAATGAGTGATAGAAAAGTTTTTAGATAAGATGCTTGTTCATTTTTGATCTGATAGAAGAAATTTTCTTCAAATCTTGTGAACTGTTTTTTATGGAAATTATTCTAGTTACGTTTTTTATATACACAAAATTTCAGATCAAATTTGAAAATACGAGTCTCCCCCAAACTGAGAAGTTCTAGAAAATAGACAGATTATTATAGGCAAAATACCATTGAAATCCGAATGGAAACAGCTGAAGAGATTTTCTCGTTAGAAGTTTTGTTTCAGCGTTTGTTTGAGAGTAATGAATTAATCTTTGAAAAGCCTTCAAAAGTAGTTTGAATGAAATCTTTTCTATCGACTTTTTTGGTGAAACCAATATGGACTTAAAAATGTTGTGTTTATTTTTGTTCAAGAGTAGCGAGGAACTTTTTCAAAGAGATGAACATTTATTTGTCTTGTAGAACGAACACTTCTTTCCAGAGTGCGTTGTTAAATTAAACTGTAACTTTTATCTAAGAAGTTTTTCAAAGAGTTATATTTTCAACGTAAAACAATGATCGATTTTTTAATAATACGTATGTAGGAAACATGAAAGTCGATGTGCCTTCTCGAAAGAAAAAAGAAAATTTCAAATGATGCATTTTGTTGGATAACTTCTCATCTACAAGTCGATATATAAATAAACATTCCAACTTCTACAGTGAGAAACAAAAGTTTAAGTGAAATTAGTTTTCCAGCATTTCTTTTGGATATTTTTTTTTCATATTATGAGGTACGGACCTGATTCAAATGGTGATATGGATAGTATGAGAGGCCAGCTACATGATGTATTATAGAACTAGACTCTATCTGCCTATTTAGATTTTTCATAATTGAAATAGTTTTTTTCTATGCAAAAACAAGTTTGAGTACCTGTCAGTATTTCGCATTTCCTAACCAAGAGATTAACGGTAAAATGAAATAAAATTATATTAATCAATAGAGCATTTCAGCTCTATCAGTTGATAAAAAAAGATTTTTTTCCCAGAGTCTATTTTCACCTTTGAAATTTGATTTTAATGAGAATCGTCAGCAAAAATGGAAAAGTGAATTACCTTCCACAAACTTCCTCTTATTACAATGTTTCATAGACCGTTGGAATGAGCATTAAAAACTGAACAAAATGTTGTATTTGAAGTTCGAATATCATTCATTTTTTACGCTCACCTTATAGAAATAAAGTTTTGAGAAATATAATTAGCTGTTCTTTTTTAACTATTTTGATAGAAGAAAAATGCTGACTATTCTCACCAAAATCAAGCTTCAAAGATGAAGATCGACTCTGAGAAAAAATCTTTTTTTTATCAACTGATGGAGCATCAAATGTTCTATCGATTAATATAATTTTGTTTCATTTTAGCATAAATCTCTTACTTAGGAAATGCGAAATATTGAAAGGCGCTTAAACCTTTTTTTTTGCATAGAAAAAAATCTGCTTTAATGATGAAAAATCTATATAGGCAGATAGAGTCTCATTCTATAATACATCATGTAGTTGGCTTCTCGTACTATTTATATCACCATTTGAATCAGACCCGTACCTCATAATCTGAAAAACCACCAAAAAAAAAAATGTGAAAATGCTGAAAAACTAATTTCACTTAAACTTTTGTCCCCAACTGTAGTTTTAAATCGCAACCTTGTATAAAAATAAATCAAAAAAAATTCTTCGAAAAACTTGAGAATTGCATTCTATTGATTTGTGTCATTTTAGCTGCTTGTATATTAGTTGTGTACAAATCAAGCTACTGAACTACTATTAAAAAATGAACGTAAAAAGTTTAAAGAGATTATGATTAGTAAGTTAAGAAAATGGCAGGCTTTTAGAACTTTATTTTTTTAATTTATTAAATTTATCGATATGTCGAGACTCATTTTTTTAATAGTATGTAGCACATGAGAACTAAAACCTTATCCTCATTTCTTTGTATTAAAAGGTCAAAACAACATTGGACTTCATAATAAAATACTGCCAGATCTCTAGAAAAATAAATCTTTATTTATTCTTATAAAATTAAATGTATATATATTATTAAAATAAAAATTTAATTATAACTACATATTCAAAATATATCATTCATCAATCGATAGTCATTTGCTATTTAGTTAACGTAAAAAACATTCAACAAACAATATAACTTCAACACGACATATATATATATATAGTTTAATCATCGTCTCGTTATGCTTGCCATCCAATATTGTACATCGTACAACAGAAATCAATGATTCATAATGAATGAATGAGTCTTTTGACACTTGATTGTCTTTTATGTCATCATCGAGCAGAAACTGTTCAATTGACATTATCAAATAGTGTATATACATATAATATGCCTTTTGTAAACAAAACAAGACAATCTTATACATTACTTTTTCTTCTATTAAATATGTATATGTCTAACAAATATGTTCTATTAGCTGAAGATGTAAAAATTAGGAATAGTTGTTTTTTTTTGTCAAGTTGAAATCAGATTTCTTATTTATGTATAATTTACAAAATAAATATTAATACGAAAGATATAAAATCTTGTTTGATGTTTTCTTTTTCTGAATAATTTAGAAAAATATAATTGTATCAATTTATTACTGAAGCACAAAACGATGATTATTAATATTTAACATCAAAACATACGAATGTATTTTCTTATTTTATTATATTTGCTGAAGTTTTATTTCTATGAATGAATTTTTTTTTTTTTTTAGTTTTTTTTAACCCGATGGTTTGTGTGATTTAACAGTAAATTTAATTATAATTGATGCATAAGGTCCAACTGCATCTTGTGTATCCAATTGAATAGTAAAATCGCCTGTAGCCATGAAATTAGCAATACTTGATTGAGCATCAGGTATTTCGAGTTTTTCATTTACAATAGACAAATGTCCAGCAGGAATATTGAATGGACAATTGCAATCAATAC